GCTTATAGGATTCCTGGTTACTTCTATATTGAACAATAAGGATCCAAATCCACTAAAATAGTATACTATCCTAAATGCTTAGCCTAAATTAAAATAAATAGAGGCATAGAAAGTAAAAACCTAGATGTTCTCTTGAATAATTTGTGTGACCTTTAAGCAGATTTTATACCTCTAGATCTGTTTCGTGAACATTTTTTTTTTAAAAAACAAAAACCATGAAAATTTTTAAATCAAACAATTCAAATGCCAAAAAGAAATTTTAGTGCAAAATGAGCAACTTATACACAAAAAAAACATTGACAATAGAATGTTTGTAAAAAGTTAATAGTCATATTTTATCAAGAAAGTGGGCATAGTATTCAGGCAACAGCAGATAAATTTGAAATTGAGCCTAAGCAAGTTCGGGAGTGGAAAAAAAAAATAATTTAATGAGTGCAGCACTGTATGTTCAATGACTTAATACTGGTGCAAGGCCTAAATATCTACAATTAGAAGAGAAACTTTTTGAGTAGTTTTGTGAGTTACGAGGACAACTTAAAACTGTGACCAGATTTATAATTAGTGCGAAAGCTCATAATTTGGCTGGAAGACAAGAATATCATACTTTGTATTCTGATATTCTTGAATGTCAATTTACACAGAAGTAGGTGGATGGATTTATGTCACATTATAGATTAGTAAACCGTCGATGTACTACAACTGCTCAAAAGTTACCAGAAGAATATAATGAACTACAACAAAATTTTTTGGCATATATTCTTTATCATCGAACTCAACATAACTACCTTTAAATTTAATTGGCAATATGGATGAAACTCCAATGTCATTTAGTCTACCAAGTCAAACAACTATTGAAGAATGTAGAAAACGAACCATCTCAGTTCTTACCACGGGTCATGAACGTACTAGTTTTACTGTAACTCTTGCCTGCCTTGCAGATGGTACCAAACTTCCTCCATTTATTATTTTTAAGTTAATTAATGTACTACGAGAGCAGTTTCCTGATAGTATATATGTTCGTGCAAATTCAAGTAGCTGGATGGATAAAAAAGAAATAATTTGGTGGGTAGAAAATGTGTAGTGTCGACAAGCTAATTTAGGGTCAAATCCACGTTCGCTTCTTGTTCTTGATTCATTTACTGCTTATAGAACAGATTCTGTAAAATATCACTTTTGTGAGAGGAATACAGATATAGCTGTGATTCTGAGTGGGTTAACCTCACACTTGCAACCATTAGATGTATCTTTGAACAAAACATTTAAAGCAAAAGTTACAGTAGTTTAGTGTCTCCTATAAAAAAAATTTAAAAACATACTCAGACTTTCTCAGATTAGTTTTTTGAGAGATGAGCATTTTTCGTAACAAATATCTATACAGAACCTTTGGAATTTTTTCAAATTTTCTGAATATTTCTGAAACTTGTTAATTTTCTGTTTATAACTTTTTGCTAGGAAAAAGTTACAAACAGAAAATTAACAAGTTTCAGAAATATTCAGAAAATTTGAAAAAATTCCAAAAGTTCTGTATAGATATTTGTTATGAAAAATACTTATCTCTCAAAAAAATAATCTGAGCAAAGTCCGAGTATGATTTTAAATTTTTTTTATAGGGGTTGCATATTAATTGAAACATAGTGTAGAAAAAGTTTTTAACTTTATTGTTTTAATATAGGTCCGCTATGTATATAATCAATGGATAGATGAAGTAGTAAAAGAATATACACCAGCTAGAAAAATTAAATGACCATCATACTCAATAGTAGCAACTTGGATCAAAGAAGCATAAGATGATATTGATGCTGCAATAATACAACAGTCTTTCAAGTGTTGTGGTGCTTCTACTGTAATTGATAGCTCTGAAGATAATTTGATTTTTGATTTTGAGAAAGTTCTAGATGTAAAAGGCATACAAATTAGTGTTGAAGAAGAAAAAGAAAATAGTGAATCATTTTCAGAAGATATTGAAAGTGATCCAGAGAATGAATATTATGAAAATGAAGAAAGAAATTATATTAATATTTGGGAATAGTGAGTAAATATTGTAATTTAGTTATTATTGATAAGAAATGAAATGAATTAAAATATTTTATTATTCTATTAGGCTTTTTTATAAAATCATTTTGTCTATTACTTGAACCTTAGACATATATGTTAATATCAATATTCTCCTATCACTATGTTTAAAAAATTTGAATAATAAATAAATAGATATTAGAATTGTTAGAGCTTAAAAAAAAAAAAAAGGTGTTTGAAATTTATTGCACTTATAATAATCGTGACACTATTATTATTTTAGTGAACTACAAAGTAATTTATAAGCATTCAAAAAGTATCTATTATGCAATCCTCTTCACTAATCATAGATATAAAAAATTCATGTCATGTTTTTAATTTGCGATGTACTATATTATAAATAAACTCTAACTTAAAGTAACTTAAATTTTAAAAAAATGTACTCGATAAAATAATTTGGAATACATATAATTTTGTTGTAAGTTGAATTAGAATTCTTTAATAACTCGAGCACATTTTTAGAATTCTATTAAAATTTATATTTATTCGGAATCAATTTAGGTGAATTCTAAATATACAATAATTCTATTCTAATGTATAACATAAATACAATAAGTGAATTATTAAAATAACAATAATATTAAAAATCTAGTGAATGCATAACTTATTGAAATTATAAGGATTGACTCTTTTATAGCTAAGTGAACTGTATTTATTATCTGAAACTACCAGTATAAGCATTCTTTCATCATTTTTAGTAATATACATTACTTTATTTCTACCTATATATATACTTAAAATTATGCGTAAACTAGACAAAAAGACAGAATAATATATAGATATAGATCATATAATAATCACAGACAATTAGAATATTTAAATATTCTTTAGAATACTAATATTTTTTATAGTTGAATTACTTTTATTTTATTTTTATAGTACCCGAGTACTAATTAATATCCATAAGTCCTAACTTTGAAAAATACTCAAATACTAATCAAGTTTCATTAGTTACAATTTTGAAAAGTATCTAAGTACTAACCATAGTCAAGTCTTTATGTATAGTGTATAATATTCAGATCTTAATCAAGAGGAGTACTATTTCTTAGGGGTATTTTATGCAGTACTCTACAGTAGATAGAATAGTTAGGTATTAAGTTGAATTTCTATTTTGTTAGTACCTTGTTTAGCTAGTAAATCAGTGATATTATGAAAAGAATTTTTTGAGTGTGATTTAGTTTTGTGAGTAGTAAATTGGATATTTTTCTTTTGAATAAGGTAGTTTAGAATGTGAATAATATCCTAGTTGTTTATTTTGGTTTGTGTTAGATGGTAGTAGGGTAAGTTGTTTTTAAGTATATAGATTACTGAGAGGTTATCCAAATGTAGGTAGATTTTGTAGTTTGATAGTAGTGTTAGAAAAAGGTAAATAATTGTTGATAGTTCAGCCTTTGTGGAATTTGGAGCATGTGGTATCAATGTGTTAAATTTTATTTGAGTATTGTTTTGGAGTATCTATATGATACCAGTTTTGATGTTTGGTGTTTGTGAGTATTTGATTAATACATCTGTGTAGAAATGAAGAGTTTCTGAATTTAGTAGAAGAATTTGATTATGAAGGTTTATAAGTTGATTTTGGTAAATTAGATTAGTGATTGTGTTTTGAATTAAAGAAATATCAGGTGAGGAGATAATTAATTTAGGTAAAGTAGGAGTTAGAGAGTTGGTTAGTGTATGGTAGATTTTTTGTAAGGCTTGTAATTCTAGTTAATTAATAGAGAGTTTGAATTAAATTTGAGTTGGAGAAGATAAGTTAGAAGTTTAGTTTTTATATTTTATATCTTTTAAAATTTACAGAGTAAATTCTTTAAGAGGACAGAAATGTTATAAAATAGGTTTTAGCATTTTACTTAATTATTATATTTTTATATTATTAGATTTAGTTATTAT